CATTCCTAATTAGCCAGGAATGGTCGCTAAGAGTGGTACCGCTATTCATAAGCTTGCAGTCGACAGCAAAACCCGGTAGCTCATCATCAGCCGTAGATATTCTGTGAATAACTCCGCATTTCTTATTGAGCACTTGGTTTGGGTCCACAAGGTTCCTTTTACTCGGCGATAATGATTCCCTACTCACTAAGGATACCTGAGCCGGACAAGTGGACTCAGCCGTCACTGCCGCCTAATTTTGGCTTAGTCGCTTGCAGAAAAGCAGACGTCGGCTACCTCCGCTGCAGTATAAATATATTTCATTTGAAATTGTCACCTACGAACGCTCGCACATCTGTCATGACTAGTCGTTCTGTAAGCAATGAAAGTGAACCAGTTATGCAAAGAGTATTAGCAGAATTTACATGTTTCTGAACTGCTTTTGCTTGGTAATATTGTTATTCACAGCATGAATTAATGTTATCACAAAACGTACATCAATTGAACTAGCATGTCTCATATTGGTTGAGACTTTGGTTTCCTTCTTCTTTGAATTTCTATTGTTCTTTGTCGTGTTTACGTTGCGAGCGTTTCAGTATTTCAACAGACCTAGTGACTCAAAACAGGGGTTAAGATTTGGAAAAATTTTGTTTAGGGCTACTTTCACGGTAAAAGCCGACGAAAATTTGAAATGCGATGATCAACGCCTTTTTTCACCTTTGAAGGGGTCTATTTACCTGTCTCAAAGGCAGTGATTACGATAAATTCAAGAAGGGTTTATAGAGACTGGTGGTGCTCAATGGTACGCCAGTGGCGAAAAAAGCGGAGAAATCCGTCAAGAAAACGCAAAACGGGACCCCTTTTTTGGGTTTGGTTTCACTCATGAACAGGTAACAGCTCAGAAAGCGGACGTATGAACGAGTTCATCGCAACGCGTTTGGTGACACCATGCCAAACCATGCTCCAATCGAGTTGCTCCAGTTGTGCCGCTGCTGGCAACGCAGCTCGTCCAAATCACCAAGTAAACTAGTGGGCGGATCGCTTTTGGGGGCGGAGTGCTTTCGAAGTCCTGCTCAGCAACCAGCGCACCTTTCGTCGTGAAGCCACACTTCCTGGCAGCCAAGTAACTGATTCGTGTGGTGCATATGCTGCGTGCGATCCTCCCTATGCTGTCTTTAAGTTATGGTGTGAATAAGTGATCAAAAAGTGTGATGGGCGTTCTGAGTTACCGCATGAGGAAGATGTGTGACAAAAAGTAACGATTTTGATCCACAAGATTTATAAGAAAGGTGGAGTGGCCGAACGTAGTGTGGTTTTTAACTCAAAGCTCAAATAACAAATAGAAGCCATTGCTAGTAAAAAAAAGATACGGATCTTAGTAAATCGCCCTTAACTCCCAATAAGGAATGAGACAACCGAATTGACCCTGTAGTAAATCAGGAGCTTCCTTACATTGCCTGTAAAACTCGCGCCGCGTCCAGATCCGAACAGCTGATGATTTCGATAATACACTGGACCACTACCTCTGCACCATGGAGCGCTAGTGGCTATCGTTGAAAGAGTTGCAAATATTTGAATGAAGCGGGTGTTCGCTACGCGATTTTGCCCACGTGAACATCTACTAGCATGTACTGGGTTAGATCTCAGCTTTTTCTCTGCTTGCATCGCATGTATTTCTCTCACGTAAGGTCCAACTACTACTTGATCGCTTTGAAGGAAGCGATAACTATATAAGAGGGAGCGCAACGGAGAAGAATATGCACCACACGAAGCAGTTACTTGGCTCCCAAACAAGCGAGGTGTAGTGCGCTGGTTGCTGAGCAGGACTTCGAAAGCACTCCGCCCCAAAAGCGATCCGCCCACTAGTTTAGTTGGTGATTTGGACGAGCTGCGTTGCAGCAGCGGCACAACTGGAGCAACTCGATTGGAGCGTGGTTTGGCATGGTGCCACCAAACGCGTTGCGGTGAACTCGTTCATACGTCCGCTTTCTGAGCTGTTACCTGTTCATGAGTGAAAACCAACGGCCAAAAAAGGGGTCCCGTTTTGCGTTTTCTTGACGGATTTCTCTGCTTTTTTCGCCACTGGCGTACCATTGAGCACCACCACGTCTCCTCTAAACCCTTCTGAACCTATCGTAATCGCTGCCTTCAACTCTTATTTTGTGAAGCCGGTAAGAGAAGAGAGAGCTAATGGGATTGTGGAGGCAGTTAGATTCTGGGGCGTGCCTTTAGGTCGTGGAAAACTTATCAACAGTTGTATACCACTTACAAAATACATAATTAGACGCTCTTCAGATCTGATGAAAATCTGCTTACTATGAAATGACAAATTTGAACTGGTTGCGGCTCTTATTATTTGTAGCCCTACTAAATTTGATCATACTGTGGCCAAAATTAAATCTGGCAAGAAACACACCGAGGGCCTTGACCAAGTAAGTTCATTTTGTTCAAATACCGTTACTCGAACTTCAAAAAGCTACTACTGTGGCGGGTTCACCTTTTCACGAGATGCGCCACCGAACGTATTTTGTCAAATACAATGGCCTCCTTCGGGCAACAGGGGAACATTTCAATTTTTCCTCTCCCAGGCTGACTATTAGTAGATGACCAACTTTGCGGATCTGGACTGCTTGTAAGTTTCTTGGTGAAAAATGTTCTCCCCCCTTTGCAAAAAAAAAAACCTGCAGAAAATCTGAACCATATTTGTACACTCAAAAAGGAGCCACACGTATTTTGCACATCGAGAAGATTAACAGATTCTCGAGGTGAGAATTTTTGAGCTTCAACCCCCCCAAAAGTGCTATCTCTATTCAGAAACGAAAATTGTAGATTCACATAAGACACATTTATTTGCGTTCGAAAATGTCAACGAGTTAATTTTTAGAGAAACGACAAATAAAAAATGGATCGTGGTAACCACTATCAATAGTCCCACCAAAGACATAATGGTAAGTATAAATATATTGATTCAAAAAATATATACTATTTAGATACGTAAGATAAATGACTTGTATAAGATACGTTGTTAAAGCATGTACGTGTTCACTTTTCATGTTTTCAGCGCCTTGCCAGGACACCGGGATGGTCGCTGGTGGTAGTCGGTGACGTTAAAACACCTTCAAATTGGTCTCTAGAAGGCGTGCATTTTCTCAGCATTCACGACAAACGAGACAATAGGTCTGTTAGACAAGACTCTCAGCATTGAAAATATGTGAGGTAAACAAGGGTCAATCATGAAAGGCTATTGAGTTTTAATTGAACGAAATTGCAAAACTCGTGTGACATAAGTGGAAGACGAACTCATAAAGTCACTATCAAAGGAACCTCTCGCCCACCCCTGACGCTGAGGGAATGTTTTCATTCCTGACGAAAGTTTATAAGGCCAGGGACCCATTCCAGCGAGACCCCGGTCATCATGTCGTATCTTACGGCGTATCAAGACTCTTGCATCTAATCCAGAAGAACTCTCCCAATTCTTTGCCGCTACATCGAGCGAGACCTACTAAATGGAGCAATTCCAACCGTTGATAATAGCATGAAGACTTTGCGTAGCTCTCGGGCGTGGTTGTCTACTAAAAGGCGTACGAATAAACCAAATTTGCTCATTTCAACGCTTTATAGCAGCTCATGGGCAGTTTTTGTAGCAGCAATACCTCATAGCTGCTAAGCTGCTCACTTTCTAGAAACTTCCTAAAGTTGATGTGATCACAACTCACTCCCAGGCGTTGATAAGAGCTTCAAAGATGTCAAGACCCTACATAACGCTCAAAAGGGAGCTATCGCACTTGTATCTGCTCCCACTTTGAGGGGGAGCAGGTGGGAGCAATTACACATACAGGGGGGGGGGCCAAAAAAAAAGACATTTTGCCTATGTCGGACTTCGGCTCTTTTTTCTTCGCAGAGATTGCTGTCGTTGACGGGAGTTCCTCAGCAGAGTATTCCCTAAGTGTTCCTCTATTAGTGTACGCAGGCTCTCCTTCACTGCCCTCACCGTCTTCAGAATATGACGTCATCTGTCACCGTCGTCAGGCTCAAGGAGGTCTACCGTAAGAGCTTCAGCCTGAAGCTCTTACGCAATTTCGTGAATCGATTTAATGTTGGATAGTTTTCTAGAGGCATTAGCTACCACTGTGCAAATCCCCTCGGAACTAGCTTTCCAGTAAGGGTCGTTATGGTACACGATCCTTCGAAGACCCCATTGAGATCGACCAGTGCACCATGTTTCCAGGGCAAATTCTTCTGATGCCGTCCACGTACGTGGCCACTATGAAGATTTTCTTATAGAATGGAATGCACTCTTTAATAATAAGTTGGAACCGTTCGGTCTGAGTTGAGTAAAATGTGCTTAAATCCATCTGGAAGTGGAGGCAAAATGTCTTTTTTTTTGGCCCCCCCCCCTGTATAAGGGCGAAGTCAGATAATAGCTCTGACGAACGTAATGTATCGACCATTGCGCTAAGACATGAATATACGCAGCTTGCATGAGGTAACGCCTAAAATGAAAATAGAACGAAAACGGTTAGGTTAAAAAAGTCACGATTCTCTGTCGAGCCGACCCACTTCCAACTTCGACAATATCACCTGTATCACCTGTCGTCCCGTTGATCATCGAATTGCTCGAGCGGGCGCCAGCAACGTCTCCATTCGTCCCTGTCGCGTGCAAGAGTTGTCCAGTGGACCCTCCTCGCTCGAGGGACACGAGTCCTTCATTCCTTTCGTTCAGAGCTTTCGTGAAGAAGTCTGACCATCGCCGGCGTCGTGACGGCAGAATAAAAAACGAAAAAAAAATCGGCCGAAACGTAGTGGTGAAAAGTTCCGAAAGGTCGGAGAGTTTCCGGCGCCTTATCACTTCGTTGATGGGGCGTCGGAAAGGGGCTCCTTCCTTTTGCGCCGCTGCCCCCGCGGCGCCGCCTCTTGTCTCACAGTTCAGGTCTTACCCAGTCGCGAAGATGGTAACCTTCCAATTGCTCCGCATGACATTTTATCGCTACCAACCCTTCTTTCACCAACGCTCGCGCGCACTGTCATTGAGAGCATCCGACATTTATTGCCATACTTTGTAATCTGTATGAACATTTCAACTAACAACAACTACCAATTATCAAATTTTGGCATCATTAGTACCCTCTTGCGATTTACAATTGAGACTTGTTGGATTTTGGGCTGGAATATGTATGATAGTTGGTCAAGATGTACGAAAAACACATCTGCCAAGTACGTAGAGCCACACCCACACTGAGGGGACCACTAGCGCCGTAATGGGTGGTGCCGAGGCAAGAAGTTTCGATTCGGTTCCAGAGTAGGCCCGCGACCGGGAAAAAGAGATGTGTCACTGCGTTGCCCGCTCAGTCAAAGGCGCCCCCTCTTAGTGGCGGATAAAGTTCTCTGATAGCAAGTGCCAATCCAGAGCTCTTCTCAACGACGTTGAGTGTTGTTAATAATTCTCACATGTGCATGCACTATCTTATTGAGATCGCAGACACACAAGCGTCTTGTCCTTTGGATTTTAAGAATGCCACCCGAAGCCGAATGACGCCCAAACCAGTTATTATGTCCAAATCTGATCAGGCATCATAAGGCTGACTTTGAAAAATGGAAAGATCGAATAAACTAGGTTGGGATCTCGCGGGCTATGCGCGTATAAGAGGGGAGATCGTTCAGGACTAAGGCCTAGGGGGGGCAAGAGCTTTGAGCCTCTCCACTGCGCTTAAGTCTTTTATTGCTAGAACTCCGTTTATCAACACATAAGAACTTTTGACAATAAAGCACCTGTAAACCATAATGCCCCAGTATATTGCGATAGCGCGGGATTTCGTTCGTGGAAGTGTTGAGGAACACAAACCAACTTCCATCGGAAAAAAAAAGTGCAAGAGAAGGAGGGCAACAACAAATAGTGCCGTTACCACACACGCGAAGCGCGGATCAAATCAGACATCTGATCTCCAGCCAGACCTACGGGATAGATGAAATGATCTCAAATATGCTTGCGAGACAAAATGCAGATGCAAGAAGCATCATCGGGTTGACCTCAAACACCGAAGAAGCATTTCAGTGATACTCGATTTCGATAAAAAGCCGAATGCGCGCCTTCTCCATGCTCTCTTCCTTATCTTTTGATCTCTTAAGGTTATAACATTGAGAAGAATCTACCGTACAAATCCTACACTAGAAAAAATGTAGGATATCTATATGCGATACAGCACGGCGCCGAGTGGATTTATGACACGGACGATGACAACAAGCCTTACGGTAGGACCACTCTGCCTTCTTTTGCTTTACTTTTTCATAAAGAAAAGACGATCACACATCAAACACACGTTTGAACTTTTCTTACATAATGGCTGGACAATATCTAGTGGTGAAAATAGTAGCGAAGGCTAGAACACATTGCATCGGCATGTTCGCCGGTTCCACTCCCAACAGAGACCATTTACTATAACATCCTCCTGTTTTTATCTTACCTCTTGATCTAGTCTCCAAAGAGTGATAACGTTTATATAATAGGACATAGGCCGATGTCAGACTTTGCGAATCGCGCGATTCGCTAGCGTCTGCGGTCGCGTCGCGGCCAGCGAATCACTCAATTGGCTGGTACCGCAACGCGACCGCGGACGCTAGCGAATCGCTAGTAGCGAATCGCTCGATTTGCAAAGTCTGACATTGGCTGTACTCTTCTCTTTGAAAGTCTAGCTTCTCAAAATAGTATTTTGATAATATTGGGTTGTCCAGAAAATCCTGCGACACTTTGAACAAATAACTTTAGGGAAAAATCAAAACCTTTTCAGTTGTTTTGGCATTTGATTACTGTAGTGTGTCTTCGAAGGTTCCAGCAGAAGCGTACATGAAGGCTTCAAGCAGCGTTTTACAGCTCCAAACTTCTCTCTGAACCGAGCCATCTTTTGACATATTTTATTTCTCGAGCTCCTATGAAGCCACTCTGCTTGCATGCGTTGCAGCTAGCATCTGTGCTGTATTCAGGAGGTGACTCGTTCAGCAGGCCATAGTGTCCCGTTGTCCCTAAGGCTTCGCATCCGGAGATATTTGACTCAAAGTAAAGCACTGCTCTGGTCGGCTGTAGGTGGTGAATGGTGAGCATTTGCTCAACTTCCCAGAGGCGCAGCCGATTGCTACCAGTCGTGAGTTAGCAACAACGCTGAGGTGCACTAATTTATCGAGGATCCCTACGTTCTTGGTTACAGGGCAGCATGTTCGCAATGGGTACCACATGGGTTGCGCCAGTCTGGGGAGGCGAAGTGTGTGACCATGGTAGAAGATTTCTCTTCTTTCTTCGCACAAAGGAATCTCTTGACAAAAATGAAGATTAGGGAAGATAGCTCAAGCTTGAGGAAACTGTACACATAAGCTCTATTGGATTCGATGAGAGAGAAAACGTCTGCAGGAA